CATTCCCATCGATCGAAATCGTCTGTTCCATAAAAAGTAGACAACAAGTCGGCAATCGCATTGATATTCACCTTAGGTTGGAAATTGAGCCCAACCGATTCTGCTCTGTCTTACATCGTGGGTTGATTCCGTGCAGTGGCACTTCGTAGCATCTCCAACTCACGTCGCACAATTTCTTAATCCCGTGCCATCAATAGATTCTTTCTTTCGCGAATCTCCAATTCGCTCACCAAAATGGCAGAATTATTGGTAATAGGATCGGTTCGTGTAGCCTCTGTCACTCCAGCGGCATCCTTAGGCTCTCTCTCTTCGATTAGTTTTCTTCTGTGAATATTCGGTTTCGGACTGTGTTTCGGCATTTCATCCATATCCAATCATTGTGCCGAACACTTGCAATTGTCGAAAAGAATATATTGGTTCCACGACGGGACTCATATTCGAAAATAACATGAATTTTTAACTTATCCATGATTATACAAAAATTGCTGTAACAAAGACAATTCGAAAGATAATCACAAACCAAAACATGCATTTGAAAAAGTGATGATGTACCTTCACAACAAAAAAAGACCAAAAACTGTAAAGGTGAAATGTCACAGATATCGACTGTCAAACTTAGTACTTAAGGAAATCGGACATTTCATATTTAATGACCTAATATAATCGTATGATATGCCACGTATGTGCAAGCTTAGTTACAACTAGCATTCGTATTATATTTACATTTTATGGCTGTTTATTAATTATAAGAGAAATATATAGTTTTGAACTATGTTTTAAGTGTGCTAAAATAGTCTCGAGTGTTGTTTCATCTTTTTATTTGAAAATAGCACGCAAGACTTTTTAGTATGTCATTTCTCGTATCTGATGTCACGATTCATATGACTGCGGTGATTGTTCAGGAGCGATATGATACGTAGTGATTGTGAGTATTTTGAAAGAAAAGATGGAGTTATTGATAAATAATTGTCGCTTATTATATATAATTTACTTTCTTTAGCTGCAACGTAGTACATCTGTACCTATACATAATATGAATCCTACTAATCAGTGTATACTTTTCATCTTCTTTTAATTATTAAGAAAAACTTTTATGCTTACATTTATATGTAGAAGAAATCCTTCTTCAGATTCTTTTCTAGAGGGTCTCCAATTTCGTGCTTTGCCATGTATTCCGTATTCACAGGGAATAAATTAGGTAACAACAGTAAAGTTACAATTTTCATACCATCCAGGTAATTAATATTAAAATATCAACATTTTTATGAAGAATATAAGAAGTATGAATTCCGCTTTACAATACTCTGCTTTACAATAATTCTTCCACCTTGTCCGTCGGTTAATTCCGATATTTTATCGAGAGCCAAAGCATGATATTTCACAGAAATCTCATTAGAGAAGAAAGTATGCTTTCCATTGTAATTCATATTTTCGTGTCATGCCCAGGCTATGTTCGACATGAATTCCGTCGTCGGGAGTTATTAACGTCGCGCATTCAGCGCGTGACAATTATTCGTGCGACAAACTTTCATGAATACATCTCAATCCGAGAATCGAATCCTCTCTTCTTCCTACTTATTCACGCGCGGTAGCAAGACAATTTTGTCATAAAACGCTTCACTTCATGACGCCGGCAGCTCGACCGGACGCAATAACGTTCGTTTGTATATAATAAAGTTATTACACGTCGTGTCATAGTCCAATGAAGCGATTTACTCAATAATGGCGTCGACATTTTTACGGTATGGCCGTCGAAATTTGCATATGTCCGGCGAGAAGTTTCGATGCGACGGTTTACATGACAAAACTGCATTGCGACGATAAATTTTTGCGAAATAATCGACAAATTGCCAAGTGTTTTAATGAATATCGGGCGTGTGTGCGGTGTGAACGTGCGGCTGTAGAAAATATGTAGAGCGTGTCGGGGGGATATAATTTGTCACGCTCGCGAATTGATTCAACGCTGAAATCTACAATTTCAGCGAAAATATATTTTATACACGACAAGGTCGGGTTATTTCGCACCCGAAGATCCGTCAACGTGTTTGTTTTTCATTTGGCATCTAAGCGAACGTTATTTCGCATGATCTAAAAAAGCGGGAGAAACGTGCGTTTTTAGTTACAGGTCTATAATTTTGTTCAGCCTGCACATGACGACGGCCCGAGCAAAAAATTGTTAAATCCATCCTCATGAAGTACAAGGTCTCGATAAAGTTGAAAGTAGGATGCCCTAAAAAGGGATGCTTCATTATTATTACATCAGACTCCAAAATGGATCTTTTAAGGATACCTTAGATTTTACGCAATAAGGCTTTGATAGAAAAAGCTGAGAAGGAACTCAGAAAGATTTTTTAGGGATGACTTAGATCTAATAAGTAAGGCTTTGATAGGGAAAGCTGAAAAGGACTTTAGAAGGAGTTTTTAGATATGCTGTAGATTTTACGAAATAACGTTTTAATATGGAAAATTGATGTGGGCCTTAGAAGAATCTTTCAATAGATATACAAAATTAAGTTTTACTATAAAAAATTAATAAGATCTGAAGCATGTAATAAAATTGTTATAGTTTAGTATTATTTTTAGTACGTACGCTCTATCTGCTACTTTTAAAGATTTTTTAATTATACCGCAATTAAAAACAAATTTTATTAGTTTTATTAGTTGTCATATTCATTAGTCTCTTCCAAGGATTTTTCTAATATTGCCTTCTTTTGAAATCCAGCAAACTGTAATAAAAACAGGATTTTTATATAAATATATAAAGAATGCTATATTTGATTGTAAAGTATGCTATATTTTTAAAATAAAAAAATTCTTGTTGTATACTAACAAGGTTGTAAAGAAATAAAGAAATTACAGTCTAAATTTCTCGGAATAAAAAGGACGAATATTTTTACTCAAGCAATAATAAAAATATTTCCTTATAAGACCCTATCAACATTGTCTTATAAAGATCCGTTAAACCATTTGTTACACATTTTGTAGGGCCCTTGTCTTTCTATACCTACTAGGGTCTGATTAATGTTAGAGAAAAATGATCAGGCCCTTACCAGCCCTATTAATTTTTTTACTCGGGGGACTATCTCTTAATTTTCCTCTCGTTTTCCTCATAAAAATAAGATCATAATTATACTGAATTATGATTTATTTATATATACATATAATCGAGAGAGATGCCTTCGTCTTGAAATACAGACTCGCGTTGCATTTCGGACGATATCTCTTTTAGAGTGCAAAAACTCTGGAGATACGCAACTATTAACATGAAATATTAACGACTCGACTATTCGAGTTTCCATTTTCGAGCATTCCAGTCGCGAGTCGTGAGGGATGCGTATAGTCGCATGAAAATTATGCTGCGTCAAGTTATGCCGCGGCGCGTGCTAGACATTAATTGCTTATCTCCACTTTTGTCACTGTAACTCATTAATACTCCATGTGTCGTTTGCTCAACAGATGCCGGGAAACACGATGATGGATAGCACGCTATTAGACAAGGAACTCCATCGAATTCTCATGAAGCGCAAGGAAGAATGCTTAAAGCTGAAGATTATGAACACGACGCTGCCGTTAGGTAAAGTACACACACATATTTATGCGTATGTAAATGTGTATTTCACATGAACGAATAAGAAAAGTCTCCACAGAGGATGTAAAAATCGTGGGCAAAAATGCGCGCATGGCAGAAGAGTCGCGAGTGGCGCCTTTGTAGTCGACGCTGCGAGTGCTGCCTACATATTGATTTTATCAGACCCGCTTACTTTACTTTAAAAACTTACACTCGACAACGGCTTACAGTTGAGCATCGCAATTAATTGAATATTTGCATAATTTTGCTAACAGATTAAAAATATCTGTTATACGTGCACTTCTGCTGCTTTCGATTGATCGGGTCGTATTTTGCAATTCGTACGTATTTTCAGGTGACACAATATATATCTTGAAACGAAAATATCAACGTTATAATCAGCGTTATAATGCGCATTTGTTGACATGACACACGGACACGCACATATGCGCACATGTTCAAGCATGCAAAGTGATGCAATTTTGCCCCACGTGAAAATTAATATGATCGTAGCAAAAACTACATTTGTTATATAATACAATTGAAGGGAACCTTATCGTCCAGAGAAAAATAGTTTATTATTAACTTTTTATTGATTTCATAGGTCCACTCCGAAGATATAACTGTTATATTGAATTATTTAAAAGCTGAAACCGATTCGATTATAAGTTTTTGAGTTCTGATGTCAACCGATTTGTAAAACATAGTTTCGGGAAAAACGCATTCAAAATTTCGGTTGCTATTTTTTCATACTTATAGTATGTTTCTGGCTAATCTCTCTTTGCTATTCCTAGCCCATAGAATAACCTTTCTAATTCTTCGTAAAAATCGTGTAATTTCTCTACATTGCTTCAGCTGGCCATGCGAGCTTTCTTTAGTAGTATTAGCACTCTTGATTTCCGCATGTGTGAATCGCCGTTTATCCGCGTAATCAGCAAACAATTTACATTGCTGATCAATAATTATTCCCATCGTCTCCATAACTTTTAGAATGGTAACGTAACTCTCGTTAAACACTCCTACAGCCAAATATGCACAAGATTCGAGAAAGAATTGAGTTCGAACTACCATTGGAGATTATAATCTTGCTGAGGACACACATATAAAGGCCACTATACACGTAAAAGATCCTGTTTCTTTATTTGTCTGTTTGTTTGCTCTGTTCCTTCGACAACGAAAAATTTCTACTTGCTTCGACCCGTATCTGACAGCGTCGAACGTTCGGACGTTAAATCGCTTATTACTTCGTTAATTTCGAATTTCGAAAAACCAACATATTCTTAAAATGTACTATAAAAATATGTAAAAAAAGTTTTTTTCGATCTTTCGAAAGTTCTGGACGATAAGGTCCACTTAATTAAAAATATACTTTATTAAAACCTCCTGCATACATATACACAATACTGAAAGGAAAATAGAAAGAGGGAGAGAATGAAAAATGTTTTTCTCCTTCTTAACAATTCGTTGCCGGCTATTGTTCCTCTCTCGCGTGAAGCGCACAAACGGCAAGCCATTGCATAAAATTCCTTAAAGAATTCTGCCCCTGTTCTGCTTACTACTTGTCCTTCTTCGACTTGACCGCTGCGCTGTCCTTCGTGCACACACGCGGTCTGAACAAGAGTCTCTTGGTCTTCCGCAAATTAAACAGCGCGGCCAAAAGCACCGCGCTAATCACGAATAGTAAGAATGCGTAAACATCTAGTAAGTGACGTTGCCACCAAAAGAGACGCATGGCCGGTGATTAAAGGAAATTACCGTGTTTTGCAGCATATTCCACCCAATATATAGTCGTATCCAGAGCACTCATGAGACGATCGAGAAACAATCTCGAGAGTTTCTGCACGTTCTTGTTAAAACAAACAAGGAAGAGGAAGAGATGAATTCGCCAGAAATCGATTTGGGAACACGGAATTGAGGAGTAACGTTGCATGTTATTTTTTCCCGGTAATCGACAGCCATTTGCCGAAGACAAGTTCTCCTCCCCTTTTCTCGTTAAAAACAACAACAACGACAACAACGACATTACATTTTTCGGCCAACGGTAACGAATGCAACCCTGTTACCCCCTTTCATGCTGAATTCACCCGCGTGAAATACGGGCGAGGCATGAAGGAGGAATGCAATCTTCGCAAGACCGAAGATTGAAAAAGCGGCGGAAATATCGTAACAACTTGTGCACTATTTCATGAGTAACGATAACAGTAATTAGCCATTTTTCAAAATGAGTAATGGCGACAATGACGGGTCGTTTCGAAAAATCAGCTTCCCCGAGCCTCGATTCGCCCGAATGTTGCTTTGCGAAACGCAAATCCGTCAAAACTAGGAGAGCTTACGATCGATGCGACATGTTTTCGTCAACATCACCGAGACTGTCGTCAGTCCGACGCGAAATCTCGGTGTCTGTTCGAGTTGAAAGCACGTCGAATCTTCTGCTAGATTTTTCATTTCCCCGCCGTCTCTCTCTCTCTCTCTCTCTCTCTCTCTCGTTCTGCACTGATAAAACATTTAGCCCTTTATTCGTGCGCGATACACATCCGAGAGTCAAGCAAGATTCGTTTACAGTAGCACGCGAGTACGCTCTGTCCAGTGATATGTAACGCGGCGCAACCGGTTGCGGATCGATACTGACGGGCTAATAAGACTTAAAGCAGTGAGCCTCCAGGCTCTTGAAGTCCTTTTAACATGTGGTCACTGGTTGTACAACTTTATCGCATTAATTTACATCAAGAGTTCCTCCCGCGTTCCTCCCGCTAAACAAAGTTATTTTATTTGCCGGCGGGAATGAACCCACGGCTGTGAGGTCAAACGAGTAGAAACATGACGGGGGGGGGGGGGCGAAACGAAATCGGAAAATACACACAGGAAGGAACGTATTAGCAGATTGAGCGAAAATAAACTGACTGAATGGAAAACGAGGAAGAAAAAGAGGAAGAAAAGAAAGAGAGAGAGAGAGAGGAAGAGAGAGAGAGAGAACATAACGAGAAGATACAATTATCTCTTATGAAATCACCGCATTTTATAATAATCGCCATATGTTTGCATTAGAGATGTGCAAATCAAGAATTTTTATGTCGAGTCGAATCGAATCGAATCTCATTTTTTAAATTCGAATTCGAGTCGAATTGAATCTACGAAATTTCATTCGAATTCGAATCGAATCGAATGAAATCGAATCGAATCATTAAAAAATTTAATATGACTATTAAACATGCAAATAATGATGAAAGATTTTAATATAAAAAGGAATATTGATATTATAATATCTTAAAGTAAAATATATATTTAAATATTTAAAGTAATTTATGATTAAGTTATTAATTATAAGTTCAGTTATTAATAATTACAAGTTAAGAGTTCAAACATACAAACCCAGATAGCCCGTATTGTAGCTGATGCACGCAAATAATAATGTATTTGATTCTTATTCGAATTATTCGGGTTCGAATCATAGGGATTCGGATTCGAATCGAATCTAATGTAATTCGATTCGATTCGATTTGATTCGAATTCGAATAGTTCGCACATCTCTAGTTTGTATCTGTCCGTCTGCTTGCTGAGACCCCAATTATGCATGCACTTTTATGTTTATTAGAGATGTGCGAATCAAGAATTTTTATGTCGAATCGAATCGAATCGAATCTCATCTTCTAAATTCGAATTCGAATCGAATCGAATCTATGAAATTTCATTCGAATTCGAATCGAATCAAATGAAATCGAATCGAATCATTACAAAATTTAACATGACTATTAAACATGCAAATAATGATAGAAGATTTAATATAAAAGGGAATATTAATATTGTAATATCATCTTAAAGTAAAATATTATATATATTTAAATATTTAAAGTAATTTATTATTAAATTATTAATTATAAGTTAAGTTAATTAGAAATTAAGGGTTCAAACATATAGGCCCAGATAGCCCGTTTTGTAACTGATGCGCGCAAACGCTAAGTATTTGATTCGTATTCGAATATTTACGATTCGAAATTTTCGAATTATTCGAGTTCGAATCATAGGGATTCGGATTCCAATCGAATCGAATTACGTTAGATTCGATTCGATTCGAATTCGAATAGTTCGCACATCTCTAGTATTTATGTTTACGATACGACGAATGTTATGATTTCATTAATCCCTGCTGAACAATTAGTAGCTGGGCGTATAACGCCTACTTTTTCTGGCAGCCGTTACTTCGGGTACTCACCGATAAGTGGGATCCTTTAATATAGTATTCAGTGCCGATGTTCATTTCTCCTCGGTGACATCGTGTATAGAGTCCAGCGAGATAGCTACCTTCTTCCTCACGTAAGATATTGATACGTTGGTCGCCAAATAGAGGGATGCCGACCATGGGGACTCCGTAAGAGATTGCCTCCTGCGTTCCCATGAGTCCGCTGTGCGTAATGAAAGCCCGTATGTTTTTGTATTCTGCGAGGATTGAGAACGGTGGGTTGCTTTTATGCGGCAAAAATGTCATGCGGTCGGACATCCGACGGATATCGGGCACAGAAACGGCAAAAACAATGGGGAGCAATCTGAATGTAACCGAAAGGATCCTCTTGTTTTTCCTTCCCTGGCTTCACATTCAATTGCTTCGCGAATAAACTGCGGTGACGTGGGACGTCGTTGCGTCAAGCATTAATTTTCAAGACATTTTTCTTGATTCTCTTTTTCGTTTTCTCTTGCAAACACAGTGAAAGCGATTCAAGTTTCTCTCTGACTGCAAATAAGCGTCCGCTAGTTTTCTCGTGAATGACTAAATTGCAACGCTGATTCCACTTAATTCGCAGTCATGTTTTCTGAAAACTCGTCGACGCGGGCGCGTCACCACAAGTATAGAGCTTAAAATTTTTGCGGAATTCCCATCGCGCGGGAAGTCGGCAGAAGAGAAAGACATTTTTTGTAAAGTTGCTCGATTTATATGCAAATGATGTCGCGCGCGCTGAAAGCGCACCAATTCATACGGCATACAAATGACCGTTCTAATGATGATTAATAAGAAACGGGCGAAAATCTAGCGAAAATCTAGCTGGACGCTGCGGCCGTGCAACGGAGCCCGTAATTACGTACTGAGAACGGCGACTTGTGGGAACCACGACTGTGTCATCACGTTATCTGGCAATCCCGGGAACAGATCCTCCTTCCTTGCAATTTTCATCAACACGCGGACCGGCGCAATCTTCTTGAACGACGCGTAGAATGTTTCCATCAACTCCTTAGAGAAAGATTCGATCCTGACCATGGAGCCGAACGTGAAGTACACGCAGCCGTCCTTGCTTTCGTCCAGCCATTTCTGCATTTCCTGCAGACAGGTCTCTTTAGAATGAATAATTCGCAACGATTTCTAAGCCCCGGCTACAATGGGCTGTCGTGAAATCTTCAAGTGCGTTGTTCAGAGAGCAAGAAAATCTTTGGAAAGGGAATTTAATTAATAGCCTCTTTGTCATTTTTTTTTTGCAAAGAATCTTTAAAATAGAACCTCTTAGGTCCTTGGTTAAGAAATTCGTGCAGTTTTTTAGACACCCAACCAGTTATTGTCTAGTATTACTGCATTCTCATAAATTGTATCAAAACTGTATAAGAACTGAATAAGTATTTGATAGAGTTTTGCTCAGTAACTGAAGCAGTTTTTTTAGTCAAAATATGTATAGTTTGCGTAGATAACTGCCCATTTATTGTCTAATATTATTGAATGCTCATAGGTGTATCAAAACTGCGTAGGAAATGAACAAACACTGAATATAGTTTTACTATACAATATCTAGGCTGATTCTTTCCAAGCCATTGTAATGTCGAATTACAGTTGTATTCTGTGCACGCATATAATAAAGTCTACATTAAATTAATTTATAACATTGATTTTTATATTAAAAGATATTAAAACTACGTGAAGAATGAGTGAACGTATAGAAAAACATAGAGCAAAAAAAAGAAAGTTGAAAGAAATAAGAAATTTGACCGGACAAATTTTGTGGCAGAAATAACTAAGATTAGAATTGAAAGTGAGCAAAAGACAAATATTGTGCATAATAATAATAATACAGAATTTTATTGCGACGAGAATACGTCAGTCTATTCTGATCATAGTAGTATTAATGAAAATTGTAATGATAGCTCAGACTCTGGACCTGATGAAAAGATGGATTATTTCATGTAAAATACTTCACTCACATAGTGATAAATTATTAAAAATATTAAGACGTAGATTATTATTCACACTTCCAATGTGTACAAAAATATTTCTGCAAAGTACTTCTGCAGAATATCTGTTAGAAAATATGAAAGACTCCGATAACTATATTTTTAAATTGTTTCTAGAATAGTGTGCTCAGGATTTGTTTAGATAAAAATCAAGTTATTACTAAATCTTTAGTGAATATGTTAAAAAAATTTATCACATCAGAAATTGCAATGCGATTCATAAGTTACAGAAAAGTTAGTAATAAATTTATTATGTGCAATATGGCTTTTTTTAATTGCATGAAAGATAACAATGCTTTGAATATTTTGTTCCTTATATATTATAAAGTATATTTTATGCAATTTATATTAATTTGTTTATATCGACTATCCTTTTCACGTTACAGATGTGATACTTGAAACAAATATTGCAAATAAATCTATATTTAAGAAAGAGATTTTAAGTTCCTTAGGGAAAGTATTATCAATGTATTATCAATCGAGACTGGGATAGTGGAAGAAAACAATTTAAAAACATCGCTACTGCAATGTCACCTACTCCTTGTCAGGATTTAAATAGTACCTCTGAAAATACACCTAAAAGTAATCCCACTATGACACAGACATTGTTCTTTATTAATGAAAGTAACCAACTAGAATTTGTTCAGTCCTTAAAAGAAAATTGTGATGACTTGAATGACTCAGAAGAATCATAAATACTCATTTTCTTGCTTGTATTGTATTATTTTGTCGTATATTGTCATATATTTTATTATATCGTTATATTCATTTGAAGAAGTAGAGTTTTGAGTTAGATATATCTCTATATTTCTACACAGAGAAGATTTTACAATAAAAATTACTGTACAATTTTATAACCGAAAAATAGGTCGACATTCTACAATAATTCACTTTCTACAGTAATATCCTTTCATTTTATATGTACTACTTATATTGTGAAAACTGAAATGTGTTAAAATTTGTTATTTTCAGCGGAATGAACTATGTTCTCTAACTCTTATATCTTATTGATATATCTTATTGATAATCTATTTCTGTATTATTAGAAACAGTAAAATAAAGTGTTTTAAAGAAATATTTAAAGATTTTTGTGACACACACATACGCGCACATATATATATATATATTTACATTATATATATATATATCAGGGTTGGGAAGTAACGCGTTACTTGTAACGCCGTTACTAGTATCGTTACTTTTTTGAGTAACGATTAGGTAACGCCGTTACTTTTTGGTGTCAGTAACGAAAAAGTAACGGCGATACATTTTTTTTGTAACGAGTAACAAAACGTCCGTTACTTTAATCGTTACTTTTTAATTTTTATAAAAATAAACTTAATTGTATTTAATTTCTATGCATTTTTTGTTTTATGCTGAATTTAATGAGAACCAATAAAGATGGACTCACATATTGTCATCCATTGGCCTTAGCTATACAGAAAGGTTTAAAAGAAAGGTAAGTTGGTGTAATTTGGTTAATACATATGTTCATCAAACAACATTCATCTGATCAAAAAGAAAAATCAATATGTTCATATTTAATTTTATTGATTTAACTTTAGGTTTTGTACTACATTCGAAAAAGAAGAATTGATAATTGCCAGCTGTTTGCATCCCAAATTGAGTTGGTTAGCTGAAGATAAGTGAAAACTTACGCAAACGTATTTAGAAGATTTATAAGGAATTCCTTCAATTAAAAATTTTTTGATGTCTGATAAGCACAATAATAACGATGACTTTTTAAATTTTAAATAGCAAACATCAAATGAGAAATCTGCCTATGATGAATGGCAAAGATTTTTAAAGTCAACAGGCACTAATGTCCAAATATTAAATTTATATCCACTAATTAAGAAACTTTTCATTAAATACAATACTTAATAACATAAAATAATAAAAATATTTAAATATATATATATATTTCTAATCGTCTTATGTCCGATTTATATCTTGTCTTAGCATCTTTCTTATAATCTTGGATTTACAACAAAAAAAAGTAACGGAAAGTAACAAAATAAAATATCGTTACTTTCAAGTAACGGTAACGCGTTATTTTTTAAGATCAGTAACGAGTAACGGTAACGAGTTACTTTTTACCGAAAGTAATGGTAACGGTAACGAGTTACTTTTAAAAGTAACTTTCCTAACCCTGATATATATATATATATATTATGTACTAAAGATTAAGGATAATGAAAGTCTTAGTATTGAGAACCTTACAATTATAAGGTTGATGAAAAAACAATACAGGAAATCTTTAATGTGTAATATATATTGTGCTAAATATAGCATTATATATAATGTTATATACTACTTTTAGCACAATATATATTATACATTAAAGATTTCCTGTATTATGACTTTCATCAACCTTACAATTGCACAATAAGCAAACATATTCAGAATATGACATATTATTGCGGCAAAACTGCCTATTTCATGAGTAGTAAACTTGCTTATTAATCGATTGAATAGTTTCTTTATCCATTTATTATTCAGTTTTCGTTCAGTAAATGGATTCAGATTTTGCGCATCTTTTGTACCCAGTAAAAACGTGCGGGAAAAGCGTTACATCTTGATTTGGATCCTAACAGTTTTACTGGTCACTTACTAGACAGAAGTTAATAAAACTGTTCAATAATTGCCCAAAAACTGCATGAAATTTCTACCAGGGGTGTCGCTTGGAACTTTTATAATGAGAATAAAAATCCAGTGTCCTCCGACGACTTTGAAAGAAAATTGTTGAATAAATCATGAAAAATTTATGATATTTTTTGATGATTGTATTGTATTGTTTCGTATAGTGTAGATCAGGCTCTGATTATTTTTCCCTAACATTAATTGGGCCGTAATAGGGATAGAAAGACAAGGGCCTTGCAAGATGTATAACAAATAGTTTAACGGGCCCTTATAAAGCAATACTGATAGGACCTTATAAGGAAATATTTTTATTATTGCTTGAATAAAAATATTCGTTTTTTTCATTCCAAGAAATTTAGACTGTAATTTTTTTACTTCTTTACAATCTTAGTATACAACAAGAATTTTTTATTTTGAAAATATAACATACCTCACAATATATATACAGGGTGTTTGATAGCTGATCATGCAGACGAAAGTTGGAGATAGATTGGGTGTAGCCGAAAAGAAAAGTCATGTACCATTATGTCAAATTGCCAATAGTTATCGAGTTATTAATTAAAACATGTGAGCCAACGAGCGCGTAGAGAGCGGAGGGCGACCGCAGTAAGCACGTAGACATTTAATACAGGCGGAGTCAGCGAGTGACGGTAGGCGAGCGCGCGCGGCGAGGGGCAACGTAAACAACAAGAGGCGAACGCGTACGACGAGGAGCGAGCGAGCGCGAACAACGAGGAGCGAGCGAGCGCAAGCGACAAGAGGCGAGCGAGCGCGACGAAGAGCGAGCGAGCGCGAACGACGAGGAGCGAGTGAGCTATAAGGAAAAAGCTATAAAGAAAAAGCTTGCTCGCTCCTCGTCGCGCGCGATCGCCTCTTGTCGCTTACGTTGCCCCTCGCCGCGCGCGCTTGCCTACCGTCACTCACTGACTCCGCCTGTATCAAATGTCTACGTGCTTACTGCGGCCGCCCTCCGCTCTCTACGCGCTCGTTGGCTCACGTGTTTTAATTAATAGTTCGGTAACTATTGGCAATTTAACATTATGGTACATGACTTTTCTTCTCGGCTACACCCAATCTATCTCCAACTTTCGTCTGCATGATCAGCTATCAAACACCCTGTATATATATATATGTAATAAAAAAAATTAATAAAATTTCTACGTAGTGTTCTAAACAATCATGAATAATCCATTTCTTATCGATGCACAGACTAAAGAGAAATATTCTATTGAATATCAAAATGCACGTTTTTTATCTTTTATAATGTTTATTTTTAATCTATAATTTTTATCTTTAGCCGTAAAACATACACATACTTGGCTCTAGTTTTCTCTCCGTTTTGATCATTTCCACATTCTATCGGTCTATCGACGAATTTTATATTTCACTCGACAGAACGGCGACCGTTTTTCATCTATCGCACATCCCGACATTTCGTCATTCCAGCCGAACGAAGAGCAGAGACAAATGGAATTGCGTTCGCAACGATATTAACGATAAATCGTCTCTCTGCGATCGCACTTCATTGCAGCCGAGAAAGACTCCGAGATACGCGCGTTGCAGATAATTGAGAAAGCCAATTTGTTCAAACGTACCGGCTACAACGGATCACCATCATCCTTGATGTGCAAACCGCCCACCCTGATTACGGCTGGCGTGTACGGCCTGATTCCGTGCAATGTGGGATGCGTGTTCACCAGATACAAAGATACATCATCGTACAGCTCCCTGATGGACGTGTCTTTGATATCAAAGTACTTCCTCACATACTCCACCTGAAAGCTCGTGTGATAATAGATCTGTATGGAGATCATATTCGTCATGAGAAAGTTGATAAGTCGCTCCTTGAAGTTCATGTCTTGCTCGAATGTCGAAAATAGGCTCGGGATGAAGGCGGGATTATATGGATTGCCGGCCACTTCGTTGAGCCAGTCGTGGAAGCCGGTGGTCATTATGCCTACCATCGGGACCTTGAATAGACGACCGAAAGCCAAGTAACATGGCGCCATAAACACCTGTGTGTGCAATATCGATCGTTCTATTAATTCATTATTCGCCGGGTCATCGTCGTCGTAGCTATGACGGTGATGATAATGACAACGAGGAGTCGTGACTCTCGATCGCACGCGCTGACTGAAAATATAGATCAAGCCGCATTTATTTCGGAGTAAAGATGCGCAGGTTTTGCGGGTGTGGATGGATGAATTAAGAGGGAAAAACTACTATAACGGGTCAAAAAAAGCCTTTTCTCACGAATTCTTTTTATTATTTAATGAATTATTAAGAATTGGGATATGTTATAAGAATATATTATTAAGGACACTTTAAAGTAGTTCTATACAAATTTTTATTAAAAAATAATAAAAATTAACAAAGATATATACAACAGAGTGCCGGTTCGTAAAAAATTCTTCTTCCGACGATGGATTCGATATCTCTGGCATGGTAATTTTTATTTTGAAAATTAGTATTTTTTAAGGCTCCTTGAATGAAAGAAAATTTTGGGAAAATCGAGGTTTTTTTAATATGTCGCTATTTGGAGAAAAATTAATTAAAAAACAACAACTACGCTTAACGAAAACTACATTTATGCTGATTAAGACAATATTTGACTTTTTTTGCACATGAACCATGCCAGAGGTATCGAATCCGCCGTTGGAAGAAGAATCTTTTACGGACCGGCACTCTGTTGTATACAGGGTGGATGGTTATAAGTTTATAACCCAAAGTGTGAAGGTAGATTAGTTTAAGACAAACGTAAAAGTCCCATAGCGTTTTGCGAGATTCGCAATAATTATTGAGTTATTAATGACAAAAATTTGAAAAGTGGGAGCGCGCCGACATAGATGATTGGAGAAGCGTTGCAGCTGCTCAGGCCACAGCGCGGCCCATTCGACCCAGCAACTGTTGACGGCGTGCGGCGAGACGTAGGTCCGGCAAGATAAAACAACGAATAACGGCGCGTTGTCTTTCCGCTTACCGCGCACCCGCAACAGTTGGATCGACTGGACCGCGCTGTGATCTGAGCAGCTGCAACGCTTTTTTAATCATTTATGCCGGCGCGTTCCTCACATTTCTGTCATTAATAACTCGATAATTATTGCGAAATTTCGCAAAAAAGTATGGGACTTTTATATTTGTCTTAACCCAATCTACCTTCACACTTCGCGTTGTAAATTTATAACCATCCACCCTGTATATCTTTGTTAATTTTTATTATTTTTTAATAAAAATTTGTATAAAACTATTTCAAAATGTCCTTAATAACATACTCTTCCTCTAATCCTTAAATAATTTATTAAGTAATAAAAAAAATTTGTGAAAAAGGGCCTTTTTTGGGCCCGTCACAGTGGTGTTCCCCCTTAACAGTCACTTAGCGATACGCTTCTGAGCCACACTTATTAACCGATTTGTTGCGCAAGGGGGACTGGTCTATTATGGTGACACTTGTATCACGGTAGCGACGCACAGCGGTGCCTAGGCTTTATTTTGCGGACAAAACCTCATATCTTTAAAAATATAGAAGATATGAGAAAACGTTTCAGACAAAAGTTGTATCATATTAAGGGAGACGTATGATGCTAAGATTTATTTGACTTTGCAATGACCTTGAAAACCACTGCCAAGGTTAACTTTAAATTTTTGAATGGCAACCGGTATTTTATGTTACATTTTTTTATAGCTGATATCGAGACGTTCTCAAAACACTACCTACTTGTGTCATTTGCACAAGCCATTTCCGAAATATGAAGCTTTGAATTTAACATAGAACACCGCGGTTACGATTGCAGTCAAATAACAAGTAAGCAGCACGTAATTTATAAAGGACAGTTTAGTGATAGTATCTACTGTTCAAAAGTAGACATGTAAAAGTTGGTAAAGATTCAGGAATATTGTTAGAATTTTTTCACTTCATATAACCCCAAACTGGGTTGCATTAATTGATATATCAGAACTTTTTATCTGTACGATGTTGGACGGAACAGTTTTCACATATAGTTGAAATAATAATTTCTTTCAACATTCCTCAAAGTTTCGCGTCCATCCGAATCCATCCGCAATAGATATTAGATATTAAATGTAACGAAATCAAAGAAATGTATTTTTTGCTTCTAAATTGCTGAATGGAGAAAAATATTTCTGACAAAAATTATAAGATTTCGAGGAGATTATAAGATAGTAGTAAAAAAAAACATGGTAGTAAAAAAACATGGTAGTAAAATAACAGCTTTTTCCACTTTGTATACGTTTTTACCTTACTTACTCTGGGATTTATTTCCACAATTGATATTTAATACTTCCAATGTATACTTAAATATTTCAGAACATTTTTAAGCTTATTCAACGTTACGATGAAAACAAAAATATTTGACAAATGGTAGATGGCAAAGTATGCCAAGCTTTTGTCAGAAACATTTTTCTCGATTCAGCAATTTAGAAACAAAAAATACATTTCTTTGATTTTGTTACATTTAATTTCTAATATCCATTGCGGATGGATTCGGATGGACGCGAAACTTTGAGGAATGTTGAAAGAAATTATTATTTTAACTATATGTGAAAACTGTTCCGTCCAGCATCGTACAGATAAAAAGTTCTGATATATTAATGCAACCCAGTTTGGGCTTATATGAAGTGAAAAAATTCTAACAATATTCCTGAATCTTTACCAACTTTTACATGTCTACTTTTGAACAGTAGATACTATCACTAAACTGTCCTTTATAAATTACGTGCTGCTTACTTGTTATTTGACTGCAATCATAACCGCGGTGTTCTATGTTAAATTCAAAGCTTCATATTTCGGAAATGGCTTGTGCAAATGACACAAGTAGGTAGTGTTTTGAAAACGTCTCGATATCAGCTATAAAAAAATGTAACATAAAATACCGGTTGCCATTCAAAAATTTAAAGTTAACCTTGACAGTGGTTTTCGAGGTCATTGCAAGGTCAAACAAATGTCAGCATCATATGTCTCCCTTAATATGATACAACTTTTGTCTGAAACGTTTTTTCGTATCTTCTATATTTTTAAAGATATGAGGTTTTGTCCGCAAAATAAGGCCTAGGCACTACTGTGCGACGACAAAGATGAATGCGACGTACCATGTGGAATGTATGACGAAAAAATATTTGAAATGACGGGATGACGGTATCACACGACGCACTTACGTCGATTACTAATATCGATAAAGATCTATGACGAGGACCATATGACTCGCCGGCACATTGACTTGGAGCCTGCTCATTGCTCGAAAGTTCAACTGATGATTGATTCATCAATAATAAATCAATGTAATTCGAAGTACATGTATATTCTTTTTTATATCTCCCTTGGCCATATTGCCAATTTCTTCAAATACAATTCGTTGTATTTATGCGCGACTTAACCACTTGACTGGCACGCGCGCCAAAAAGGCGCGCACTTTGCGTCACAAAGAACTCACCTTATTTCTTCGTTAGAAATGCATAATTAAATTTAAAAGGTTACTAATCTTATGTTTTCGACATCAAGGAATTCGAATTTAATGTCCAAATTAATGAATTTTTAATTCCCGATGCACTGTCGCCTGTTTAATACGCACGGAAAATTCTTTCCTCTATATCGATTTAAGGATTAAGATTATGCTTTCATATTATTGTTTGTTAAGTTAAATGAAATTGTAATAAACATTTTCAAAACGTATAAACATAGTTAACCTTCATGCGTTTGCTGATGAAATGACCGTATTTTTACTTTTTTATTTCTTATATTTTTTATATTTTTTGTTTATTTCGTCGTTGGTCGTGATCCATTTCACCAGCAAACGCACGAAGGTTAACTATGTTTATACGTTTTGAAAATGTTTATTACAATTTCATTTAACTTAACAAACAATAATATGAAAGCATAATCTTAGTCCTTACACTGCAAACCTAAGTGTGTTATTTTGACACGTATAAGCTGAAGCTTTCTTCACGCGTTTCTTGTCGTCTGAAATCACATTATTTGATGCATTTTGATATCACTTAACGCGTTTAAACGCGTTAAATGACGTGATTTAAGACGACAAGATACGCGTAAAGGAAGCTTTAGCTTATACGCGTCAAAATAACACACTCGGGTTTGCAGTGTACATGTCGGACGTCTCTGAGGTAAAGTGTGCTGTGTGGAATATACTATCGCGATCAATATTGTTGCACACCTCATTATGCCACGCGTAAAAGTATTATTAATTATATTTGGAAAATCGCCTGTACGGCCGATAAATAATCAACGAAACCAAATCAATGATATACCCGTCTCGATTTACTTTTATTTACCATATTTCTGATAACTGAATTATTAGTTAAATAAAGTGACGGTTACCGGAGACCGATACATTAAATCCCGCATAAAATATAATTAATTACATTTGAAAAATTGCTTGTATGGCCTATAGAGTGCCAATGGAATCAAGTGAATAATACATGCGACTCGATTTATATTTTTCTATCGTATCGATTAAATTATTATTTAAACACCGGTGACGGCACTACGATACTGCACACTCATTAACCACTTGACTGGCATGTGCGCCAAAAAGGCGCATCCGTGTCCATCTCAGAACTGGCACGCGTGCCAAAAAGGCGTGCGCTTTGCGTCTCAAAGAACTCGCCTTATTTCTTCGCATAATGCATAATTAAATTAAAAGGTCACTAATCTTATGTTTTCGACATCAAGGAATCCGAATTTAATGTCCAAATTAATGAATTTTTAATCCCCGATGCACTGTCGTCTGTTTAATACGCACGGAAAATTCTTTCTCTTATATCGATTTACCAATCATTCTGGGATACCGCAATATCTGGGGGATATACAAATGTTCGCTGTTTTAGATCCTACGGATATCTCTTTTAATAACTTTCAGTTCCTTTTTAAAAACTTTTAGTTTCTAAGAATTGCTGCTAAAAGAGATATCCGTAGGATATCTCTTTTAGTAATAATTTTTGGAAAGTAAAAGTTTCTGAAAACTTTGGGAATTAAAGTTACTAAAAAGGATATCCGTAGGATATCTAGGATCTAAAACAGCGGACATTTGTATATCTTCAAGATA